CCTCCAAACACAAGGCAGCCCTCGAGACTCAAGATACTCTCAAGAGTAATTATGTTTTCTCTCGTCCCATCCACAGAGATCCAACCGACATTGCCCGGTCAAGGTGAATATGATTTCAAGTCAACCTGCCATGCATGGCTCAGATCTCAACTCCCAACTTGGTGCACTTGACCTATATAGTACTGCATGACAGGACAAGTTATAATAGCCATATCAAAGATTTCGTATGTTGAGGAGAGAGGCATTTTGGAGGCCGAGCTACATGGCTCTCTTTATCTAGTCCAGTTGTTGTCCCGTTGCGATCTGTGCAGCCTGTCTTTTTTGGTATAATACGCGGACTAGTTTATGGAAATACATCGGTGCCATGCGTTGGTGTACATGGGCGTTTGATATGTCCGGTCATTTCATGAACATGGCGTGCGTTGATGTGCTGACGGCTGGCTGCACTGTGTGTCAGAGCAGATGTTTGCTGCGACCGCAGAGAGACCATGCATGCAGCTGTTGGACACTACGAGCGGCTCTTGCTGTTGGACTATGCGTGTCAGAGGAGATTTATGCTATAGACTAAACAAAATATGGGTTTACTGTGACAGATACCAGAACAGACAAAAAAACGTTGCCAACTTGTTGGAAAAATATGATAACAAAATGTGAACTGGACCAGGGAATCCAACAACAAATTAGTTGTGCTGGGAAAACTAAAAAATGTTTAACACAATTGGTGAATTGTTTTTTCTATTTTGAAAATGCGGTACACCCTGCTATCCAAATTAATTGACACAGGCTTTATACAACCTCTATACAATCTTGTATAGATGTTGCGTCAATTAATTAAGATCGAAGGGAGTAGCACAACTTGGTACGAGGTAATCTATGCAAAAACGAGATAGTACAGTAAATTCTCTTTGGCTATGGCATGATCGAGAGGAGAAAATCGGCAATCAATCGGCATTGTCTCCTAGCACAATAGAAGTGTGTGTGCGCACGCGCGTGTGTCTCAGAAAATTTAGATACATCAATTAAGAAGATTTTTTTTGGTGTAAATTATCAGTCCGGTGAAAATTTTGTTCTGGATGGGGTAGAGATAAACTAGTTTTGTAATGGTACTGTGTGTGCATTGCCGCTATACGGTTGCCGTGATTTATGTACAAAAAAGTTATCACTTTGTGTTTGATGATTTAGAAAGCGGTGACTGGTGCGCTTTTTGGTGGCGTGCCGTTGATATTGTGAGCGACACATTTCCTTCATTGATCGTAATTTTTTTGAGAGACGCGGGACGTGCTTTATAAGGCTTGATTTTTTTAATAAAAACATAAACACAAAATATGAGATACGATATGCCCAATAACACAAAAAATGAGAAAAATCACTTTCGCATGCATTCGTACGGAAAGATGTTTCTGGAGTGGATTTGCAATAGTTTGAGATTTTCGGATTGTATTTATTATTGATTGATCATCTAGTCATATGGTTGCTTATATCGGGCAAAGAAAATTTGTGATTCAACTCGAATTTGATACATGAGGCTTTTCAGACAATTTTTTCATGGTCGTTATACCAGCATCATCCCCTCTCATTTTTTTTGTTTTTCAAAGCATCATCCCTTGTCGTTTGGTATACTCAAACTAGTAATGGCAAGTGACAAAAGGCTCCAGTTTCCACAGATCAGATTTAAATGAATAATTATGGGGGTGTAATAATGGTGCATGTCTGTCGCGTGGTGATGGTTGTATGATGGCACGTGTGCGGGCGCCCGCAAGACCTGACATGGGAAAGCACTGTTGATAAAGGGAGAATACAGTGGCCTGTAAGAGCAAGTACAATAGAGCTGAGTCAGCTGGCTATAAGAAATAAACTAGCATATTTTTGCTTAGTTGGAGGAAAGAGAAGAAGAGAGAGAAGGGAAGCGGGCTCTTGGTGAAGAGCTAGCTCTAGCACGTGCTCCTAGGCACTTTGTGAGAGTGAAAGGTGGGCCATATAATAAAAAAGTAGTACACTCTTCTAATCAACTATTGTACATATTGGCTATAAGATGGGCTATAGATGACATGGCAATGGCTTATAGCCAGGAGTTGGCTATACTATTAACCATGCTCTAAATGCTGAAGGATTAAATACGTGAGACTAATACGCGCATGCGCCTGATCTCCGTAAAAACTAACGCACAAGATACCGAGCACCATGTAGCTCGGCCACCAAACAGCATTTCCGTATCTTGAGTGCCTATAAAATACAGTAGCATCGTATGTGCACATCAAGCCATCACATGTCATTCCGTGTCTCCCTCTCTTGCTGATGTGCAGATCTTCCACTCAAGCTTAGCCTTGCTTTGCTGTGCACAGTCCACACCACAACGCAATGGCTCCGGGCTCATCCGCTCTCGCTCTCAAGGCAGCCGCCGTCGCCGCCATCCTCGCCATTCTGGTGGTGCCTTCTCTGGGGCGCTGCGGTCACTCTCAGGTGCCAGCAACGCCACCGCCTCCGGCTCTTCCACCATCACCACCTCCGGCACCGGCGTCGGAGACGATACTCTGCAAAGACTGTGCAGCCTCCGTCGCCTCGATCTGCAGCGATTCGTGCAACGGCGTAGCCGGTGTCTGCGGCATCTGCAGTCGCGAGGACTGCAGCGGTGCATGCAACAACGAAAAAGCGGGCAGCAACTGCACCGGCAATCCATGCACTGGCAACTGTGAGGTGTGCAACTATGCAGCTCGAAGCTGCGACGCCTGTCGTGGCGCGAACGAGAGGAAGTGCTTCGGTACCTGCAGCGATGAGTGATCCGCGCTCAAATGCGTACCCTTTTTTTTTTGACGCAAATCAAATGCGTACCCTGAGAACCAGCTAGCACGTGCTGCATGCGTCTATGTATGCAGTGTGCATGACATGAGATGCTGTGACAACGAATAAAATACTATTACAGTACTTACGAATGTAACGCGCGCTTCCCTCTTTTTTTTTTATCAAGAATAAATTTCACTTCTGTTCGGGCATCCGATGTATACTCCTACGACTTTCCTTTTCCTTTTCTTGATCCATCGGTAGGCCAATGCGTTTGCTGGAACCAACATTTATTTTTGTTGGACCTAGCAATTTTCTTTTGCTACAATCAACCACTGAAGTTCTTCTTGCCGGAAACTTATCCACGCGGCATAGGTGCAGACCAACAAGCAGCCGCCTCCTCCTCCTCCAAAAAAGAAAGTTAGAATTTGTACCTCCCGCCGGCGCCAGCGTAGGTCCACCTCATCTTCGGTGGCCCTAGGGCATGGAGGCGCGGTGGATTCTGGCAAGGGCCGGCGGGAGGGCTCCAATTTTACTCTTTTTTTCAATTTTGCTAGGAAGGCAAGACAGCGGCGGCTCCCTGAATATGGAATAAAGGTCTTCCCGCCTAGCCCCCATTCCGGCGGTGCGTCTAGCATCGTTGATAGGCGTGTGGAGGTGTGTCTGCCATAGATCTATCTTTGGTGGATTTGCTCGAATCTCGTCGTTGTTCGTCTACGTTCGTGTGTCTTCGGTTTGGATCCTTCTGATCTACATTATTTTTCATCGACGGCGGTTGCTGTTCTGGGGTGTTGGTCCTATGGGGCCTTAGCACGACGACTTCCCGACTGTCTACTATAACAAGTTGTGCCCGGCTCCGGCGATGGAGGGGCGATGATGGCGGCACGCCTTGGCTCGCTTCAGTGCTTGTAGTCGTCACTAGGTGATCTACGGATCTGGATGTAATTTTTATTTCTGGTATTCGTTGTACTGCTATGATTGAAAATGAATAGATTGGAAGTTTTCCCGAAAAAAAGTTCTCCTTGGCAAGGTTGATTTTTGCTGGCACCGATGTCCTTTTTTGTTGGAACCTTATAATGTTTTTGCTTCAACCGAGGATTTGTTGCTTTTTTAGATCTCTTTTGCTAGACATAACTGTGCAAGTTGACGACTGCGGCAAGCCGGAGGTGGGTTACGATGGGTCATCGGGCACGGCCACAACGGCGACGAGGAAGGGTGGTGGTGGTGTGCCCGTGAAGAGGGTGACTAGTGCGGGGGAAGAGGATGACACGGGATGGCCAAATCCAACAACTACGCATGAATAGATCGGGTGACTGTGCAACGACCAGCCTAAATTTGGGCTAGTCGACCGGCGCCTATCATTGCCCAAAAAAAATGAAGAACTTGTTAATCCATGGATAAATGACAATTGTCAAAGAGGGAAATCTTACAAGTATATATGAGTACATACGAACAGGCCTTGCATTCATTTCATTTTCTGATTATTCAAGGAAACAATGCACCTCCGTGTATAATGTTGGTACATAAGGACATCTCTAGCAGATCCTATAATTGAGGTGAAAAAGTTCGGTTCAGATGATTAAGGACATCTCTAGTAGATCCCTTATATGACTTTTCCACCCTTCAAAAATGACCTTTTCTTGCAAAACCTCGCCACTCATTCACATTTAGTTCAGCCGGGGGTGTACTCGGGAAAAGTCGAGCCCCCTCCACAAGCAAACCTGGTCAACTGGGTTGTGCCGGGCAGGCCGGCCAGTTAGCACGCGTGCCCGGCCCATGATGGGCCGGCCCGACACATGGTTAATTGGATCGTGCCTAGCACGTGGCCCGCCTAGGGCCTTGCCTGGGCCTGGAGGCAGGGCATGCGTACCGGCATGACAAGACGGAAATTCAGGGAGCAACTAATTAACGAGTGCTCCTTTGGAAGCCTCGCAACGATCAGTGCCACTTGACGCGCTCTCAGCCATTCGTCACGTGTCACGCTCTAAGCGTTTTCTTCGGATTTTATTTTTTTATTTTTCCGCACGTGTTTTTTGCTATTTAAACGGGTTTTTTCCGGGGTTATTTTACGTTTTGGTTTTCCACCGGTCTTCCCTAGCTTTTCAATCAAAATTTTTTTTTGGAAAAAAATATATTTTTGCACCAAAAAAATTATTTTTTCCCGCGAGAGGCACGATTATGCTTTCACGAGAGGCACGGCCGTGCCTCTTGAAAACGAAAAAAAAACATGTTTTCTGTTTTTTTTTTCGCGAGAGGCACGGTTTTGATTTCGCGAGAGGCACGGTTGTGCTTTCGCGAGAGTCACGGCCGTGCCTCTTGGAAACGAAAAAAACACGTCTTCTGTTTTTTTCTTCTCTTTCGCGAGAGGTATGGTTTTGCTTCCGCGAGAGGCACGATTGTGCTTCGCGAGAGTCACGGTCGTGCCTCCTGGGAAACAAAAAAAAAACGCATTTTCTTTTTTTCGTTCGCAAGAGGTGCGGTTTTGCTTCCGCAAGAGGCACGGTTGTGATTTCGTCAGAGGCACGGCCGGAAAGGGAAAAAACCCGTGCTCCCGGTTTGGTTTTTTTGTCTGTTTTTTTTTGTCCAATTTTTTTGTGAAAAAAAGTTCGTCAAAACCTATCAACATGGGATCTTGTTTGGAGATCTCGACGCGTGGAATGCAATGGCGAAAGCGGTTCGAGATTTGGACGCACGATTTAAGAGATAAAACGTTTTGAATAAACAGATCTACGAAAAAAAGGAAAACTCCCAGGTTGCGACAAGTGTCGCACATGCAGCGCGCCACTTGTCGCAACATGAGAGAGTTGGAGTGATCTCTGCAAGGAGTACTCCTTAATTAGTGATTTCGGGAAATTCATATTTGCCGCTCGCTGCGGCAAGTAGTCGGGGCGACGCATAGGGGCAGTTCGCCGAGCGTTCTGATGCGTCGGCCTGTTCAAACGTTTGAGCGATTCCGGTTTTAGGAATCTTCTAGGTTGTTCCTAGTTGGTATTTTCTAGTTTTGGGAACCTTCTAGAAGGTTCCTGAACCACTTTTCTATTTCCCCCTTTTCCCTTATTGTTTCTTTTCTTTTTTGTTTTAATTTTTTCTTTCGTTTTTCTGTTTTCTTTTCTTCTCTTTGCTCTTTCATTTTTTTATTTTCATGTTGCTTTCTTTTGAAAATTTCAAATATTTATTTGGAATTTGGTAACATGTTCTCGTCTTTCAAAATTTGCTCCCACTTTAAAAAATTGTTCAAGAATTTCAAAAAATGTTTCCATTTAAAAACATCACAATTTCAAAAAAAGATTGTGTTTCAAAAAGTCATTGAGGAATTTTTAAAAAATGTTATTGTTTTCAGATTTTGTTCACAATTTCAAAAAAGTTCAGTAATACAAAAATATTTGTTCTCATTTTCAAAATTTTATGTTCATGTTTTCAAAAAATATTGTTCAGTAAGTTTTAAAAATAGAAGCATTTTTTTATTTTCCTGCTTATTTTTCTCCCTTTCCTTGTTTCTTTTTATGTTTCTTTCCTTTTTGGTTTCTATTTTTCATTTTAAACTTTATTTTATATTAAAAAATGTTCGTTTGTTTCAAAACTGTTGTTTTTTAGAAAATGTTCACGTTTTGTAATTATTTAGGAGTTTCAAAAAGTGTTCATGTTTCCAAACATTTTTAAGGTCTTCAAATTTGTTTGGGAGTTTCAAAAATGTTTTTTTTGTGAAAAATGTTCGCTTTTCCAAAAATTGTTCCCATTGTAAAAACTGTTTGCAAAATTTAAAAATATTTCCCAGTATTAAAATTTGTCCTGAAGTTTCAAAAAATGTTCCCTTCTTCAAAATTTGTTCGCATTTTCAAATTAGTTAGAACTTTCAAAAAATATTCCTGGTTTGCAAAAGGTACCTATATCAGAAAAATGTTCATAAGTTTGAAAAAGTGTTCATGTTTTTAGAAAATGTTTTGAGTGAAAAGTGTTCATGTTTCATTAAGCATTCATTTAGAAAATCAATTTTTTTTTATAAACATGAATTCTTTTGAAATTCTGAACATTTTCCAAAAAGAACGAAGAATTTCTGAAGTTTTGGAACATTTTTTGTAAAATACGAACAAGTTCTGAAAACTTGATCCTTTTTTGAAATTTGCAAAAAATGAAAACAAGAACTGTTTTTTAAATTTTTGAACAAATTTCAGAGTCAAGAACATTTCATGTAACTTAAAAAAAATCATCAAAAACATGAAAATAAAAATAAAAAGGAAATGTGTGGATCTGCGTTGGTATTGCTTCTTATAAGCTTGTGCTAATAAGTACTCCCTCTGTAAACTAATATAAGAGTGTCTAAATAACTAAAATAGTAATCTAAACACTCTTATATTAGTTTACGGAGGGAGTAATCACGAACTCTCATATTCTATGGTGGTTATTACGAAAAGATTATTTGCTGGAGGTCTCGTGTTTGATCCTTGGTATTGTTTTTTTTAATGAATTTATAGTCGTCGGTCACTGGCACAACGCTCGTTCGCCAGTGGGCCGGCCCAGTGGGGGCCGCCTGTGCGTTTGCCCGACAGTCTGCTGCAATAATCGGGATTTTTTGTCCAAAAGGATCACCTGCCCAATAGAATTGCTAGAAAAGACCCTCGCCAGATGAAATTGGTAAAAAAGACCCCCTCGTCTGTGATGGCAGGCGCGCCAGCCGACACGTGTCACCTGCCGTCATACCGGTAGGAGGTAGCACTATTCACGACACTATTTACGCGGGGGGACGGTTTTGGCACAGCAGAATGGCAACGGACGCGACTAAACAGTGTTGCCGCCACAACAGAAGGCGGCAGCACTGTTCACTCGCAGACTGTTCACTGTTCATACGGATGAACAGTAATTTTTGAAAAAAAATAAAAAAATGAGAAAAATGCAAAAAAATCTGAAATTTGTTTGTTACCAAAGACGATCAAGTGTTCTAAGTGGGTGTAAAATTTCAGTTTTTTTCAAATTTTTCTGCTACTTTTTTAATTTTTTTGAAA